CTACAACGCCAATTCCAATTACAATCAACAGAACGCCGGCGGTTTCAGCCAGAGTACAACGGCGAAGCCGTTCAGTCAGAGCACCAGTTACAGCAAGAATTACAATCAGAATTACAACAACGGCGGACAGCCGTTCGCGCCGTCCACAACCTTGCAACCTAGCACCAGTTACCAGGCGAACGACTACAACAATTACCAGAGAAATTATAATAATATTCAACGTACGAGTAATAACGTACCCTATCAGTCTACCACCGCTTCACCCACCATTTATGATAATAATTACAGTAACAACAACAACAACAACAATAATAATAATAATAATAACAATGGACAGTATAGACCTGGCACGACCATCAGGCAGGACATCTCTCAATCAACCACTAAATACTTCCCCAGTTACGCAAGCAGCAATTACGCGCCTACAACATACAGTCCAGCTACGAAGAAGTACAACGACAACGCGCAGGCGCAGACCGCCGTAAGGAACAATGAGAACGGACAGTATTATGAGAAATCTAGCCAATCTGTGAAAAGTTCGTCTCAGTATTACGAGGTAACGAAAGCGCCGAAAAAGGCCACGCAATACAACAATTACGATGGACCGAACGGGAAATATTACACGGAAACCAGCACGGGGAACTATGATCTGGCAAGATCCTCCGTTGGGATAGGGTTCAGTCCTGCTAGTATCAATCATCTGGCTGAGACGCCAAGACCTACCACCCCGGTGCCAAGGTATTAAATTAGTATATAATACTTTCAAACTTAGTTTTTATATTATATTATATTATATTTATATTATATTAGTTACATTAAATAAATTGAAATTAGGTTAGACTGCTCTGTTAATACTTTACCGACCGTAGGTAGCCTATTAATCGACTATCTATCAATCGCTACCGATCGGTAAAGTGTTGAGAAAATTCTGTTTCCACGTACAGGAGGATCTCTACAGTTACGACCTACAATCCGAACAACTTCAATTCAAACACCCAGAGACCACCGCAATCGCCGACAACCCCTAGAGAAAGTACCTACGTCAGTGGATCTGCCAGACCGTTCTCGTCAACGACGAGGCTACCCAGTACCACTACACCGCGACCGAAATCTGGGAAGAAGAACGACTACGACTATGCCTATTACGACAACACCGCTGGATTGGAGTACGACAGCCTCGATTTGGAACACGTGACCGTGAACAAGGAGTCGACGAAGATCGCGAGGAACTGACCGGATCCTTCAATAACATAGGTCCATGCCACGCGGTTGAATTAAATATATCATTCTTTTTTTTTTTTCTTCCGAGGAACTGCGGAATAACAGTGGCCAGTCTATCGTCAAAATCGGCTTTCGATGATAGTAGAAGAGAAACACATTGAAAACCGGTTTTGTTGTAAAGAGTAGATCGCCTTAAGCATATAACACAAATAGGAATTTCTCAAAAATAACAGAGTACTCTGACAGATCTGTGCTTCTTTCCTCCGAGTTACTTTCTCTACAGTATTGTAGGTTAGAATTGCGCGAACGAAGAAGTTTAATTGTCGCATGAAAAAAATTACGAATAAGTTGAAACGCGACGTTTCGTCGTTCGTTAGGTGTGTGAAATTATTATCATTATTATCATAGAGGAAACATTTAACGTGATTCTTTTGTCGGAATTTGATATCTTTTGTATATAACGAGAGGTGTTACATTCCGCGATGATGTCACTGTTCGCATGGTAAAACCTGCGGGCCGAGTGTATATATTACACGTATTTCAATTTTTAAAAAAGCACTGGAAGATAGTTGCACCTTCTACTTGCACGATTCCTAACAAACTTGTTCAAAACTTCAAATTCGAATCTATTTCTGCCAATAAAAGTACGTGAAACCTTCCTAGAACTTGGTGGAATTATTTAATTAAATATCATTACAGATATACCTATGTACAGATGTGTGAAAATAAAATTGATTTTTGTTAAAAAAAAAAGAAAAATTTACTTGCAATTTTCTGTCATAAATTTTCCAGAGAAAACTTCCCACACTTTTGAGGGAAATTCTCGTGACCTTAAAAAAGATCACTAGAAACAGCAATGTGACACAAGTACTGTTACTACCGTACTGCTACTGCCATACTGTTTCCTTCGTACGTTTAAACCCAAGTGATTTGAAGAATTCGGAATTGAGATGTTCCAATTCTTTGAAACACAATATCTTTAATTCCAAAAGTTTATTTAATTTATCTAGAATCGCCTTAATTTATCGAAAGGTCCTAATTCTACATAAAGACAGATGATCAGATATACCTAACCAACGATCATATATGTTTATAATTCAATGTGAGTATTTTATCAAAACCTCGCTTTTATCAAAGCATTTCACGACTAAGTAAATATCTGCTCTAACATATCTAGTTGTGACATTGAAAAACAGACGATGCAGCTTATTGCATAATCTACTTATAGGTTATCTTTCCAATGCTCATGATTCTCATTTTCTTGAATGAAAATGTAAGTGTTCTAA